ATAATAAACTAGGATAAACATCCTATACTCAACAAATAATTTCCGGACAGAAATCCTTTAAATAATTACAATAATTTCTATTCATCTGATAATATTTTTWCTAAACTCTAATTGCACGATCGCTGTTTATACTGTTTATAGCGAGTTGTATCTTGTATAAGATGTAAAGTGTAAACATTATAAGAAAACAAAAAAAGATTTTATCACCTAAACATTGAAACAGTTAAACAATMAACTATTAATCACTACTCTATAATAGATTCCATTTTAAATTATCTACCTTCTACATATACGCTCAAATCCAAAAATTTCCTCACTCTTGTGCAAAACTATCTCTGGGAACCCAATGCACCGTTTGAAACGAAAATGGTGTAGAGACTTACTCAAATAAATTCGCAATAAAATAATTTCACGTTGAGTTCTATCAATAAATGGCTCCATCTGCATATCTCATTTGTATATTTTGTCATCATATTTACTTATTGTGCTTTACTACCATAGATTGTTTATTTTCTTAGTAAAAAAAAAAATAAAAAAATAGGCATAAGTATGAGTGTCAAAAAAGAAAATGTTAAGTAAAGTACAAAACAGAGATTAACTTGAACTGGGAGATTATCCAGAGGTAACATGTCATACCCATATTCCTACTATGTATTATACTAGAGGTATTCAAACTGTTCGCCCCGGCTCGGCTCCCAGAGACGTCAAAAGTGCTGGCGAAGMTAGTCGCATCAGAGCATCGGAAACCAACACTAATGTAGTTATTGTAAGATTAATATTATTATTAATAATATTWATTAATTAATTAATTATTAATATTATATTAATAATATTTATATTATTTATGATCATTATGGAAAAGATAATAAAACACATCGTGCGGCGATTATTTGAAGTTATTGATATATTTTTTATTGATTTATGAAAACTCATTTAYATGACCAAGAAATTAGCAACACCCGTCCTATGCAAAATCCTGTTTAAAAAAAAATTTATATAATTATGTTGAAATCTGTAATGAGCGGAGGAACATATATAGTGGACAGACGTTTAGAGACTAAGTAACAATGCGTTTCCCTTGATGATCAAAATATTGCAGTAATATCTCGTAAACAATTTCAATTTATAATCGAAATCTTAACGCCACTTATTCGACAGCATCGGAAGACGACATAGCCCGAACGACTGCAGTTTTGCTTGAAGTATGGCCACATACGTCTGTTATTGTACGCATGCATGTACCTAATTACGATAATGCGTCTTGTGATGATGATGTCATCGTGGACCTGTTACCATATTGTTCGCAGGTCGGACTAGCGCTAGAACGGACACGATCCGCGAAGGGCGGCGTTGATTCACGCGATGCAAAAATTTCACGCCGCCGTCCGCGTTACGTAAAAATAGTAGGAGTCGGACGCGAATCGACGGCGGCGGTTCGGGCACGCGACATTCGCCGACTCCGCGGCACAGTCAGCATCTCATCGACCTGTAGAGACAGTTCAACAATCATTTTTTAATAAACCTATATTAATAATAAAACCAGTAATAATCGTGTCGCCATAGTGTGTTTTAAAGTGATAAAATATTACAWTATACTGTTATAAAGACAGATTTGAACAACTATTGTGCGCGTGTCGCGTGTTCGACATTCGGGTACCGGAATAATTCGAAAYAAACKAGAGAAAATCGCTGCAGTCGTCTCTATACAACCGGACAGTAATTTTCGTAATATTTCAATTTTTTTGTGTTCACAGTTTCCGACCACGATCTGCGTCCGAATCGTATATAATACAATATCTTCGTTTGTGTTTTTTTCCCGTTGAGTTTTCCTAAATATACGTTTCGTTTTTTACCACTCGCCTCGTCACTATTACCGTTTTTTAAAAGTGCGTCTATCATAAAACGTATCCATTACATAATACTATATAACCGCAGCCTCAGCCGTCGCCGATGAGACCTGGTGGTGCCAAGGTATCCTCCATAGGTGGGCACCCTGCAGGACTTGAAGGGTCATGAAAAATTCCTTCAAGACATTATGGAACACCTGGCAATGGGGATGTGGCCGAACTGTGAGTACTATAACGTTTTCGTAACTATCAGTACTGTACCCGGGAGTGAATTAGGAAGGATAACAATCGAGTTATGACTCGTACAGTTTTGTATTTCCCATCCGAAATTGATTTATATTGTATTATTTATTATATAATAACCAACAAATAAAATATTATTGATATAAAATATAAAATATATTCAATTTATAATTTATGTATGTGACCTGTATGTGTCACATCATATATTATACATTATACATAGGCGATAGACATTAAAAACATTTTAGAATATCCCTTCGCATCTAATATAATCATGTTGAGCAAGCCACTTGTAGAAATTCACACACCTGTAGAATCTTTATTTTCTTTTTTTATTCAATAAAGCTGCTAAATCTTCGCATACCCCGAGTTTAAGTTTTACTATAGTCGTTCGTCTTTCACTATATACYGTAAGCGGTCCACTATACGTATTCCTACGTTTTAAGCTCTTATAGGTAGGTACGATATAAGGTACAATATAYGCTGTGATATTATTCCTGACCTACGAGTGTCTTGGCAACATTTATTACTTTTAATAATCAACAAATATTTGTACATGTTCAGAAGATAATGTATACAATTTTATTTATAGYCATACATATATTTTTAACGCTTTGTGCTTTAAGTTTTACCACAGTATTAGAATGGTGTCAACCGTGTTTGTACCACACTTATCAAAAAAAGTAATTTAAATGATAATCAAAAAGTTTTATATCAAAATAAAAAAAAAATGAACAAAAATTAGGTGCATAAGTAGGTACCTATATGAAATGTTTATAAATTAAATTAGGTAATATACAATTGTGTCATCTATATACTTACTAATTACAAGTAATGTGTACCTGCTATAACGGATATATATATTTTTTAGCTGGTTTTTACCAACTATGATTCGTGATGTATTATTACAACTGTAGTTATTAGTTATTACCTATACTGTACAACAGTTAAATAAATATTATACCATTATAAGTGGGTTATATTTTAATAAAAGTGTATARTAAATATTATTATAACGTAAAATGCTCAAAAAATAATATTTGACAAAATTCTCTGTTTTTGATATATTCTATCCATTTCAACAGTGTCTTAATAACAAATAAAATTTACCATTCACTATCATACATTAGTTAAATAAAAATACTTAAATCACAATTCTTAAATTAATGGGYTGAAACATAAAAATTAGCTCTCCGTAAACGTCCTTAGTGTGTAGTATAAAAATTCTTATCTGTCATAAATCATAATACAAATTACACCAGTAATTATCACTATATTATATTATTAACTATAATGTATGTTTATTCTAATAATGAGAATACAATTTATAGGTTTTATTACATTAAACTAAATRGGTATGGTCGAATAGCACTTATTTGAGTCGAATTTCACTTGGGTTTAAAAAAGGAAATGGCTGGGCTGCACTCGGGTAAAAACAGGTAGTGATTGAACTACTTGCCATTATTATAATTTTTTTTCATTCTGATCGTTTTTAATGCATGGTATAAAAATAAATATAAGTATTAATCTTATATTTTTATTGATAACTATTTATTATCCAATTAGATTAGATTCTTTTGTAGATTTTGGCGACAATAATTATCTGCGTTATTTAAATGGCATTCACGAACTTATTTATAATGCTATTAAATAAGTACTCYGTAGCGTTCGAAAACATAAGATTCGTAATATTTTTAACGGGTTTTCATTGTACACGTTCGACTCGTAACAAGTTTTCACGTTTTTTTCCATTTTAACTCTTTTTTTTGAAYAAGTGTGGTTCGACCACTACCTGAATTTTAACCGAGTGCAGTTCGACCATTACCTTTTTTCAATTCAAGTGCAATTCGACCATTTCTTTGTAGGTAATAAGCGAAATTCAACTATTTCGAACTAAATCATGAGTAATTATATAAATCGTCGAGGCAAACAATATGTATGGTAGAAAACAAACCATCGATAATTTGTTATGTATGACAAATGATAATTTATGGATATCTCACATATTATGATCTTAAATATGGTAKATATTCTTAGAATTTAGTTTTTAGAAATAAAAATCAAACAATAAGAAGAAAAATTGTATTTATTTTTTTTAAGAAAATGATTTAAAAAGACGATTATAGTGTTAACACTTTTTGAATGATTTCCATAACATAATATATATGGTATTMAAAACWGTAGAAAGCTATAATTATTGTATCATGATTAATTAATCAACTTATTTGTAAACCATCATTACTGTAGGTATATTTGAAGTTGTAGACGTTCCAATTTTTTTAAACTACCTTTTAATATGAATATCATATATTATAAGTTACATCATATAATGTAGTTTTATCAAGAAATTTATATTAAATAATTATTTATCGAAACTATTAAGTTTTCTGAGTTTTCTACAAGCGCCCACAGTGATATTAGTATTTATCTAACGACTAGTAAGTTGTGCTTATAGTGTTTATACCATTAATTATAACTGTTGCCTATAATATAAACGCTCGTTCATATATATATWTTTTTTAATGTTTTTAGGCATGAATACAAATTAAGTAGGTATTGGGTAGATAATGTTATATACTTATATCTTAGTATATCTAACTGAAATAACATAAAAATTAATTAAATAAAATAAATGTACAATAATACTTTTATATTTCATAATTGTTCTTATGTAAAATGTAATTATGAAGCCACAACTTATAGTAATATACTTATATAACCTACGTAAAAACAAATTATGTATGAAATTAATTTAAAATAGGTACATAAAATTAATCATATTAATGTTTATGTATATAATTGTATATATGCTTATGCATAAAATATAATAAGTATTCGGTTAATATTTAAAATTACCGACACTCATTTATTTATGAAGTATACCTACTCTACTTAAAAGTTATAATAAAAATAAATGGTAAAATAACCACAATGAACAAAAATATCGTTAATTGTATGAATCAATAATTATAAAAGCTAGATGCCTACCTAAATATTGATTAAATAAAAATAAAAATTACTATTAATAAAAAAGGCGGTATAAGTTGCAGAACGCTTTTAAATGGAAAAAAAAAATAACAAAAAAATGAACCGTCAATATCCAATTTTGTTATAAGGCATACACTATACAGCTATCCTGGTCTTAGAAAAAAAAATTGACGTCAGTTATCACCATTTATATGTATTATTAGCTGTCTTAAATTTAAAAAAAAATATCAAACATTGTTAAATGAAAGCAATTAAAAATGAATTAATGCAAGGTTTTMTTTTTATTATACATAATAATGTAATATTTAACGTATATTAATGTTGTAAATATACACAATCGCTGTATGCCTTTATAGATAAACAGATCTAACAGATTCAATAACCATTTGACATTTTGACATCTGAAATCTGTATTTTGTTTAGCACAATAATTTTATAATAATATTTAATATTTTAGTATTTGACCATTTGATTAGGTATCTAGGTGTGCATTACTATAAACGATCTAATGATGATATTTTTAATTTGGTATGCATCAATTATAACATAGACAGAATTTCAGCAGGTACGAAATATCATTATAATATTTGAATAATTTTAGAAGTACTAACATATTATGTAACATAATTTAAAATTATAATAGTTCTAATAGGATGAAAAAAAATTCACAGATACAATATAATAAGTTCCCAAGCATAATCGTTAAATTAAAAAAAAATAAATACTGTTGTAATAATTTATGGCAGTATTATCTTCCATATTCTTATATGCCATACAATATATACAATATACCATACTTATATAYCAACACACACACACTCATTATAGTCGGCAATTATTAGTCCATCAACTGAAATCATCTAATTTATATTATTTATACATGTACTATGTACAGGTGCTCTACGCCACTAGAATAAATTTCCAAATTGATGTAACGAAAAAATAGTCTAACAGTTATAAGCTTAAAGTTATATCATAAATCATAATATTATAATTTGACCACTACCTATGTAGTATGTATATATATATATATATAAAGTATAAAATATAGATAAGTGATAAGGTTTTGATACATTTTCTAACTTTTACTTTTTAATAGACTATAGGCAAGCAAAATATAAACCTAAAATTACAGAGCTTAAAATTATTTCAGCTAAACGGAAATAATATTATATTAAATATTATAATAACGACATTGACCTTATCACTCATCAGTCATCACACATATAAGTAGTTGTAAGGGAACCGGTCAAACAAATATAATAATAATATATTATAAACATAATACACAAAATATTATACATTACTATTTACTATACTATTATAATATCATGTTGAACGTATTGTATTTTACATTTTATATGATGTGTATACGAATTTTCTTAATATTATATATTATTACGTACCTATATTATGATATATGTATATTGTATATATTATCTTTTAGGCGTTGATACATTTTTTCTCGGCTCTCGCGTTTGTTATAGACTTTGCACTGTGCATAATATGAGAATACCATTCACCCGATGTTTTAAAAATATATCGATAAGTACGACAAACGTCGAGGAAACGTGATTAAAAACAAAGGTTAGACAAYTACAATACTCTATACAGTAATATCGCCATCGTTACAAGTCCCGGCTCATAACGCATAATTATTAGTTTATTTTTCAATTTTCATAACATGAATCATTCTATTTTACACTAATCACAAACTTGTTTGCTAACGCAAAAAGACGTCGTGTGATTAAATTATTATGGTCATAGCGGGGGGTAAAGCCACGGTAAAGGGAACTCGAAATTTCGATGTAAGTGCTTGTATATGGAGGTTAGGTTAGGCGAACGTACTTAATATTATTATGATATCGTGTCCTTGTGCAATGCGCAAACAAAATAAACTGATTATTCTTAGAAATATTTTACCGGATATGATGCACGGATATCTTGAACGTCGAATTATATTCTGAATTTCATAAGTTAGTACTAAGACGGGCGGGAAATCTCTCGACGGGTCTATAAAACTGTATAGCGGCAAACGGATATACTGTGAACGCAATAATAAGACAATAATAAAAACCTTCGTATAATAATTTTTCTATAAGCACGAGTTAAAAATATGTTATATAATCCGAATTTCACGTAGGACAGCATCACACTGCAAGTCAGTACACACAATCACGAGAACGATGAGTTTTACGTTGACAAGTCCGTGACCCATTTTTTGTCCTCACTTTTCAACTTCTACCTCTCACAAATAATATTGCTCGCAACTTGGAACAAAATGTACACATTCTGTCATTTTTTTTTCCTAAARATTTGCAAGTATATTTTCGTTGSTACGGACGTTATTWTTTTACTGACATATTATAAAACTATGCTACACATCATAGTTCATAAGCTACGCATTTCAACAGATTTGTTAATCATTAGTGCGTTTAGTTTTGTAATATGTTATTAGGTATATCGTATATACACAGTTATACAATCAATTAACCACAATTAAATCTTACAAAATAATGGATTTAATTAAAAAATATTATATTGTTATTTTGGATACCAACATTGCTTTAGTCGGTATGTTAAATGAGTACAAACGACATAGTTTTTAAATTTCTGACGAAAGTATCGTTCCACTTTTCCAGTAAGACCAGCATATCAATTGGCAACGTGGCTGCCACATAATTTTACAGAGTGTAATCACACGATTTGATTAAATGAAACACGGACGTACACCTATATGTCAATGAAAAGCTAATAAATGTCTGCGATGCTAAGTGGACTTGATATTTATGTGCATAATTGTATTATAATAAGCTCTGTGCTGCCAAACACCGTACATTGATATAGTATATAGGYACACACGTGTGGCCTATGATTCAATCAATCATGATGGTGTTATTGTGGCTTGTAATGTCCTACCTATGTCAAAAACGTCTTGGTAGCGATTGACTCATAAATTGCCAAGGTTCAAGGCGTCCGAAAAGGAAATACTTATAGGTTCTTTTTAATTTAACATTGTGTCAAAGCGTCCTTCAATGAACCCCATGCGGACAGAGTTCATACGTCGTGTGTGCATACACCTATGAGTGGCGCGCGGGCAATTTAATTGAAATTAAGTCGTCTCATCCATTATAACTAGATTAGAGCAGCAATAGAAAAAAATTATACTACACATAATATATGTTGCACCTGATGTATATATATATATATATTATTGCGTTATAATATGCGTTTTTGTTTTGCAGATCATGTCAGCCGTGGCTGCCCATGTCAATTCAATTTCCGTGGGCATGTGTCAGGGGTTCTCGGCGGTACTCCTTCCGCAACTCCTCGACTCCAATAGTTCAATTTTGGTGAACAACGTGGAAGCGTCGTGGATAGGTGAGAAAAAAACAACGACCATAATAGCTGCATCTAGCACTTAACAGATACACTGTACTCGAACGTCGAATATATTATTTATTTATTTGTTTATTTTACGGGCCGAGGCCTTTTGAATATAATATTATGATCTAAAATTAGAAGCTATATGGAAGCAGAAATGGGATACCCAGGCCGAGTCATATGCTTCTGATAACAGATTTCTCATTAAAAACATGCCTGTTATACCGTGGTTTCAATTCCTAAAGATTAGTCGCGCGACATGACTAAATAGTAAATACACCAGACTACGCTCTAGGCACAGCCTATTACCACACGACTCATTTAAATTGGGATTCAACTGTAGCCTCTATTGCCCTCTACATAACTGTGGTGGGGTTTACTTCGACTTTCAACACCTTCTCCTAAATTGTCCTTCTCTTTTCATCCAAAGAATSCAGCTCAAATCMTATTTCTCTAACTATGCAATCTACTTTTCCCTCATTGATGCACTATCAACAAATAATGTTATCATAATTAAACACATTACGCTCAATTTTATTATTCAATCAGGCCTCAGAATCTAAAAGTGTGAGCTTTGACAATTCTTTTTCTATATAAATATTTTTTATATGTACCTATTAGCTATCGAGATATTACAATGTTTGGTTAAAATCTCAATAAAAAAAAAAGATTTAAAATTCAAACACTCATCGATAATTACAATGACAGACAATACATGACGGAACAATGTTAAGATTAACTTAAATATATTGAATTGTATACATATAATATACAGCAGCTAGGATGTCTCGCTATTCGAATGCATCATCTTACTTACATATAACGTACTTGATGAAATTAATAATTGAGTGCACCTACATCGATTGGATTTGCATCTGCAAATGTTCAGTAACAAGAACACTTACGTTTTATTTATTTTTAATTTCGGTTACAACCGAAAAATCTAAAAATACTTAAAATTATAATATACGCGCGATGGTTCCATTTGATGTACCTATAATATTAACTGTACAAGTAGGTATTTAGTACAATAGCGTTCGAAATATCAATAATACATACAATTTACTGGCAGAGGACACCCTGTATATAGATAAGTACCTCGCGTTATTCAACACAATAAATCGCGAATGTAATGAGTCGTGTGTCACAATATACGTATAGATAGGTACTTATTGTCGCGGGTCAGGCCAAACGTACTTGGATAAAAACGACTACAATGAGCTTCATCAATACAGCTGTAAATCGAAGTGTTAATGAAAGACGTCTTGAACAGAAATAAAAAACAACCGGTTACAAAAATGTCCAATAATGATTATGATTAACTGAACACCGTATTATATTAAATTAAAAATACAAGTCGATCAATGTTAATATATGTGTCTAAATACGATAAACAATTWTATAATTGTTTTCAGAAATCAATTTGTCGTATTTGTTCTTATTTGTACTTGATGAGCGCATATAATAGACACGGCTATTTCATGAAAGTACACTCAGTTAGCAATAATATATTATTACCTTTACCTATATTACATTTTTAATTTTCCCAAACTCGTGTTCGTGATTTTGTCGATTTCGACGGCAGTATAATATAATACCATATATTACACAGTATACACCTAAGCCAATAAGGAAATACGATTTGCTAGTAAAATATGCTATCTATAATTCTGAAACAGATTATATATGTACCAATCATATATATGCGTTCCACATGTGATTTACTTTCGCTCTAGCCGCAGAGCCCGCAGACCATAATTTCAATCATTAAGAGCAATGTCATTATCTATCCCGGGTTCGAGGTGTCTCCAGGTTGCGGTCAAGGTTGTCCGGTATAAACGTTCGATAACAATCGCGCGCAATAAATATAATTTGCAAAACGGCAAAAAAAAAAATATGAAAGTTCCCGTCCGCATTAGCAAGCGCAATTATTGGCTTAATAATGACACATGATTGATATACCAGAGTAGTGGGCCCGTCGTTAAAAGTACCTATGGTTAATTGAAAGCGATCTTTTAACCCGAATGCACAACTTTATTTAATACGTCTTAATGCGTCTAAAAATTGCTCGACTGTATACAATAAAAACATACGCTACAGCCCATTTATCTGAAAAATTATGTCATAAATAATATTATAGCTACAAATTACAATATTATAATAAATCATGTCGATATAATTTTACCAAGACTACAAATTTTAAAAAAATTTCAGTTTCTGGCATTTCTTCGCATTACTTAAAATATAATGTGTATAATGACTAAATAATAGGTTTCATCTATAAATGATAATAATTTATAATAAATTAAAGTATAGAATATGAATAAATAAAATTGAATTATTTGGTTAAGTAACAATTTATTAGCTATATGGACAAATTATAAAACGTAATGATAATTTTTTCRCGGCAACTGYACAGCCAGATTTTTTTTAAAATCATACTGCAAATATGATTTGAAATATACAGATGTTAAGTATTTTTTTYTAATATATGTATTTTATCTTATTGTTTTTACAGCCAGTTTAGGGGTTATATCAAATCCTCTWGGAGCGTTGATGTCAGGAGTTTTCATGCAGACTTTAGGAAGAAAAACAACAGTTCAATTGACGTCCATACCATTCTTAATTGGTTGGACAATAATTGGATTGTCTACAGACATAACGTTTTTATGTCTGGGTCGATTTATATCAGGAGTTGCTATCGGTAAGAAAATCATAATGTTTCTATATATTCTTCCAAGCGACAGTTGGTATTTTATTGTTGTCTAAAAAACTTTAGAAATAGTTTTTGATATTGTCGCTTAAGCAGACGACATATAACAACATTTTTAAAAGATGTCACACCCGCAGTTGATGCAATAGGACATTTGCGTTCAGCAAAACCAATTTTGTGTTGTTAGTTCAGTGGACTACTAAAGTGTTTGTATTCTTATGTGGATCGAAATATTATTAAGCTTAAAGGTAAGAATATTATCTATGTTTTTACCTACGTCCATTTTWTGTGATATTATTTTTATTTTTAAACGATTTATGAAAAATKTTTAATTAAAATATTTTACATGTATTCATAATTTGATTAAACAATGAAATATCGTTAAAAGCAATCAATGAACAATTAACATGGATAATGGTTCTTACTTTAAAGTTTGAGAATTGGTTAATTCTATCTGTATAGGAAAAATAACTTGTGAAAATGGTTCTGCCAAACACGAATTTGCTACAATATGTATACGTTTGTTAGATGATAGATACAACATTATAATATATACCTATGTGCAGAGTGTGATTAATATACTGTCGTCCTCTTAAAAGTTTGTTTTTGAATCAACTTTGAGCTTGAAGTGATTCAATCATCACCATATTATTGTCTATTGAGGTACAAATGTGCTTTAATAACATACAGGATGTTACTACCGATATATATTTATAGTATTAAGTGGATAAAATCGTTTTCGTTTTGTTTTTAAATCAATTCTCTATACTCAGGTATGTCATCAGCTTGTTACGTTTACGTGGCCGAAGTGAGCTTGGCTCAACACCGAGGGGTTTTATCTTCGTTCGGGCCGATTTTTGTGTCAATTGGCGTTCTTATCGTCTACTCCCTGGGTTCGATCATCCCGTGGCAAGTGGTCAGCATCCTGTGCGCCATGACGTCGTTCCTGAGCTTCCTGTCTGTGAATCTGACGCCAGAGTCACCATCATGGCTCGCGTCCAAAGGCCGCGTGGCCGACGCTGGCAAGTCGCTGATGTGGCTGCGCAGGAAACCGTCGCTGGCCGACAAGGAACTGGCCGAGATCCTGAACAACTTGGGTGACAGCAACGAGTCCGCCGCGCCCACGTTCCGAGACTTCACGGCGCCCGCCGTCTGGAAACCGTTCCTGATACTGGTGTGCTTCTTCATTTTGCAGGAGGCCAGTGGCATATACATAATACTTTACTATGCGGTCAACTTTTTCCAAGTGGCCGGCTCGACGGTGGACAGCAACGTAGCGTCGATCGCGGTCGCGGTACTCCGGCTAGTCATGAGCGTCACCGGGTCCGTGTGCATACAGCACKTGAATCGCCGGACGATGGCCATGACGTCAGCCGTCTTGATGGCCGTGTCTATGGCCGCGTGCGGTGCCTACGAATCGGCGTACGGCCCGTTATCGGTCGACGACAGGCCGTACGGTTGGGTGCCGCTGGCGTGCATCCTGTTCAACGTTAGCGTCAGCATGCTGGGCATGGTTCCACTGCCGTGGATGATGATCGGTGAACTGTTCCCACTCAAAGTCCGTGGCATAATGGGTGGCTTGGTTCCGTCGCTAGGCTACTTCTTCATATTCGTGACGGTGAAAATGTCACCAAACTTGATGACCGCGCTGGCCACCGATCAGATCATGTGGCTATTCGCAGCCGCGGCCACGGTCGCCGCGTGTTTTGTGGCCGCATTCCTGCCGGAAACTCGGGGCAAGACGCTGCTTCAGATYGAGAAACTATTCAGCAGCGGAGAACATGACACGACCAAAGGCACTGAATACCTGGAGAAAAAGTTCAAGATCAACGATTCTTCAGCGATGTACACCATCAGTTCGTTAGTGGACGTATGTCACAAATGACTACCGTGATATTAGAGGTTAAGAGCGTCACCTACATACAACTTCAGTGGTGTGTCATAAAAATAAACTAAATCTGCGATTRCGATCAAAATAATTTCGATTCGGCTATACGGACTGAAGAGCACAGCCGGACAGGTAACTGCGCAAGAATTACGTAGTGTGAATACTACCTCTCTGGACTATGGTTCACAGCCTATTTCGTTTTTTTGATTACTTGTCGAGTGTCGTGTTTTCGCATGTTATTATATCGGTATCAGTGGTATCTAATTCACAATGGGTGAACCAGCTACACATCACCATAGGCACCACGTAACATATTACAATATTCAAACTACGAAAATTTTCATTTTAAAAATCACGCGTATTGTCAATTTACTAATCACACACGACACACACACACACACACACACACTTATTGAAATATTTTTTTTTTTTTTATGGGCATCAAAATATTGTAAGAAGACATATTATTACCATATTAGAATCGAGTATGTAATCCTATTATCTATATATATTTTTATATTAATTTATGTGGCGTAGACTTAATGAAAAGTAATAATACAAATATTTTTTATTATGAATATTGTGTTACCTATACCTATAATGTAGCGATTATACACGTCATCATGTATGACAGCGATATCGATTTGTGATTTAAATCAAATAACTATTTTTGTTATTTTATACCTGTATATAGTTAAGTATTTATGTATTTATTTATTCTATGATAATATT